ATAAGAGACAGCCATAGAGGGGGCGGGAAAAAACCTGCCTCGGTTCCACACGAAGTGAGTGCGGGGCTGCCCCTGCGCGGGCCTCAGGGGGAGCGGGGGCCAGCAGGCCCCGCGTCGGCTGAGGGAGCGGCTGGGCCACGCGGGGGGGAACCCCAGACTGTTGCCTCCCCACCGCAGGTACCCCCCTTCGGGACGCGAGGGGAGCCGAGCCGCCCTGGGGGAGATGGGGGCTTCGGGGGACGGGCCTAGCCCCGCCTGAGAGCCGGTTTGCCTCGTAATTAAAAAAAAAACGGCTTCGTGTGCTTCACAGGCAACAGTAATCGGTAGTTGATGCAAGCTGGCCAAAGAAAAGTTCCAAATACCCCAAATTAGTTCCCAGATGGAAAAATAGGTGGTGTGTGGCGCCTGGTGCCAGGCAGGAGCTCGATGTCCGTATCCCCCGGCTCGTGCGTAAATCCTGTTCCTCTTGCCTTCGGTCGGAGCAGCGGAGTGTTGCAAAGGTTTAGGGGATTAAGTTCGACTCGTTACGCTGCCTTAAAATACCTAATCGGCGTCTTGTACGTTCTGAAACTTGGCAGGTGTGAGGTGTGCCGTGCCATTTGCCTCTTGTGTTGAGCTTTGCACGAGTTCGTTGTTTCCCACCAGCTCCAGCGGTTGGATGGGAACAACTTAAAACAAAACAAAAAGCCCCAAACCCACCCCATAAAGTGACTGCGTGGGGGCGATGCTGCCCGAGCTGTTAGGAGCTGACCAGGAACAAACCTCTGGCACAAGTGCTCTGCTCCCTCCTTTGCTGAGCTGCTGAGCCAAGCCCGGTGCCGATAACCAGTGTGCTGGTATGTATGGATTTTCCTTGCGGATACTAGAAATATTAATCTTGTATTTTTATGCCGGAATCTGAAATTGCTGGGCTGCCAGCTGTTGGCCAAAATTATTTTTCCCTGATAAAACGTATTCTGTCGTCACCCACTTTCAAGAGCGCTGCAGAATGTAAAGGGTCAGAGAAAACCAACCCGAATTCAGTGGCAGAGGGTTTTCGCCATATTTAATTTAGCAGAAACCTGCGTTTTGATTGAACAGAAGCTCCCGTGGTGACTCTTTCCCCCGGTGTCCACTTGCACAGCTCAAGGACCTGGCGTTCAGCAGGTGCCTCCTGCCGCGCGTTCGCGGCCCTCTGGACGCGCAGGTGGGAGCCAGGCGCCGTGGCCGCTGTTACCCGTCAGGTGCGCCTCTTCCCCGTGACAACCAGCTTGTTTAGTAAGACTTGATCGTTGTTTAATTAGGACGTGATGAACTTAAGGATATTATTCACAGTGGATGCGAGGACTGGGGCGGGGGGGTTGTGCATATGTTTATGCGAAGGCGAGCCTGTACACTACTGGCTCCACAAAAGCTCCCTCAATCAAGAAATTACGCTGTTTAAGCTTATATTTGTAAAACTCAGTCTAGACAATACACAATTATAGAAGATGCACATTACAGGAGTTTGAAAATGTCGAGTGTAGTCCTACGTTGGATACTAATGGTGCTGAGGAATCTGCAGCTGTCTGTACTGGATGGGAGCAGAACCAGTCCTTGGAGAGCGGGGAATGGCAGGAACTGCCTCTAACTATTGTAATCGGCAAGATTATCCCATTAATCATATTTGTCTCCGGGAGTACCTTAGTTCTAACTCTAAGTGTTGTTTTTCCCTTGGTGCGTCACATGCAAAAAAAACCCTCTAATTGAAAACAATGCAGAGACAAAATCAAACTGCTCGTAAATGTGTGCGGAGTTCCAGCTGGTGTTGGGAGCGGAGTGGATGGCAGAGGCGGGTGCCGAGCCGACGCCGTCGCCAGCGTCCTTCCACACCTGTACAACGTTATTTTTTGTTTTGAGTATTGCCACGGTTCTCAGTGTACAGAAGGGGCTGGCGCTGCTGTTCTGACACAAAAAGGACCCAGTTTAGGGGAGGGAGATGGCAGAGATGCTTCTTCAGGGCCTGTGTTCTGTGCAAACGGTGGGAGATGCAGGTAAATCTATGGAAAATCTGTGGTAAATCTCCTCAAAACTACAGCTCCCTGAGAGCCAGAATTGCTGTCAGTGAAGGGATGTGAACAGCCCTGGCTCTGTTACACAGCATTTCCTTTCAGCTGTGCTGTAGCAGCTACGTTTGACCCCGGAAATTTCCTCTCTGTGAGGATGTGAAAAGGAGGGGAATTTATATGTGCCCGGTTAAAAGGGTAACTGGTATGATTCTGTATGTCTGTGTTGTTTTAAATTAATTCAGCTGAATTTCAGAGGTATCTGAACTATGTGTCTCTATTAGGCACCCTGACAGGTCGTCTAATTGTTTTTTCTAATTCGGATCTGTAACTGCCAGAGTGAATCTTCATTTAGATGGATTACCCAAACCCTGCCTGCTGCTGGCAGGACCTCGGCGAGAGGTGTGTGTGTGTGGAAATAACTTTTATTTCCCGTATCTTCCCGCGCAGCCCTGAATTGCAGCTCTCTCCACTGAGCCCCTCCAGCCTGCTGCCTGTCGCCTTTTCTTTCGCAGGCTGCGTCTGGGCTCGCAACAATCCCCCGTAAGGCTGACGGCTTAATCCTGGCACGCTCGTCCGAAGGGTGACCGCCCGCATGGCCGCTGCGTCCCGCTCACCCTGCGGCTCTGCTCCGAGGGCAGGTGCCGTGCTTGCCCTCGGCCTCGGGACTGGTGCCAGGGTGGGGAAGGCCTGCCCAGGTTCCTTGCTGAGTGCCGCTGTGTCCACGGCTGTCTGAGGGATGCTGCTGGGCTTGGCACTGCTTTGGCAGAGGGAAAGTTGTTCCTGGCCCTGGCCAAGCAGGAAGACTCTTGGTTGCAGTGTTGCTGCTCCCAGCATTCAAAAACTGAGTTGGAGGTACGCCCTAGAAAGCAGTAAGTTGATAAATAATAGGTAACATTCTAAAACCAGTGTTGTATTTGTCCCTGTCTCTTAAGGTAGAACAAGCTTCTATTTCTAAATGTTTTCTCTTTGGGCCATGAGCAGATGTTGAAGGTGACTTGGTGTGGGGAGCTGGGGCTGTTAAGGGCCATCAGATCCTTGTGCAGCTGCGAGTGGCGGAGGCTGCCCTCGTGTGCCTCCTGCCCTCGTGTGCTTCCTGCCCTCGTGTGCCTCCTGCCCTCGTGTGCTTCCTG